GGGTTGGGGGTGTCCCGGGGGGGTTGCAGGGTGGTTGCCCCCCACCAACACCCAGGAGAGCCTCACCCGCAGCCCTGGCTTGCCATCCTTGCCATCCAGTCCTTCCACACCAGCAGGGCCCTGTGGGGATGAGGTGAGAGTGTCAGAGGGTGGTTTGCACTGGGGGTCTCTGGGGGTCTCTGAGGGACTTGTTCTGACCACTCCAGGCCATGGGAACACTTTTCTGGGGTACGGGAACAGGTCTGTGGTGAACGGGAACAGCCAGTTGTGCTTCCAGTAGCACCATGATATGGGTGGTCCTGCCCCTTCTGCCCCCAGCTATGACACATGGGGGTCTTACCTGGATTCCTGGGGGTCCAGGAGGTCCGGGGGGCCCTGGCATTCCCGTGGGGCCACGCATGCCCTCACTGCCCTGCAAGAGCCACAGGAGGTCACAGGCACAGCCAGGGCTGGGCACCAAACCTGGTCCCAGCCCGAGGGACAAGTGGTGCCACCACCACATTCTGGTGGTGCTCCCCCTTGGCACTCACCTTCTCGGCTGCAGGTCCTGGTGGCCCAGCTGGACCAACCTTCCCTGGGAAGCCAGGGGGCCCCTAAGGAGAAGAGGGTGCTGGGTGAGGGGGGGATCCCAGCAGATCCCACTCTGTGCATTCTGCTGTCTCCAAACCCATTTGAGTGGGTTTGCTCTGGAGCTGCTCCCTGCACCTTATCCCATGGGATGTGCCTATGTCCTGCTGGTAGGACCCTCCATCCCCATCCCTGGCCCCATGGGGACATGGGGACACACAGCCAGGAACAGGCACCATCCCATGTGGGATGGACTCACCGGTGGTCCAGGGAAGCCAGGCTGACCCTGGAAACCCTGTGGAGAGACAAGAGCTGAGCCAGACCCCAAGGGCCACATCCTGCCCGATGAGGGTCCTGGGGGTCTCCATCCCCCTGGGAGATGCTCACCTGATCCCCCTTCTCTCCAGCACTGCCTGGGAGCCCACGCTCCCCCCTCGGTCCCTGCAGAGAGAGGAGGTGAGATGGTGGGGAGCACCTCACTGCACCCACAGCCACCCCCTTCCCTCCCCACAGCCCCCTGAGACCCCTCAGGGTGGGCACCTACCGCTGGCCCTATGGGACCAGGGAGTCCATCCAAGCCGGGAGGGCCCTGGGAAGGAGAGGAACAGGGTCAGAAGGACCTCAGCCCCATGGTGAGGAGGACACCTGGGACAGCCCCCAGCCCCTCTGCCCCTGGAGCACAGCTCCAAGGGACTCACCAGCTCTCCTTTCTCTCCTGGGGGGCCCAGGTAGCCTCGCTCCCCTTTGATGCCCTGGGGAAGGAAGGAGATGGATGAGCTGGGACATGGGGCAGGGATGGGGCATGGGGCAGGGATAGGACATGGGACATTGGGCAGAGATGGGACATTGGGCAGTAATGGGACATGGGACAGGGATGGGACATGGGACAGGGATGGGACATGGGACAGGGATGGGACATGGGACATGGGGCAGGGATGGGACATTGGGCAGTAATGGAACATGGGACAGGGATGGGACATGGGGCAGGGATGGGACATGGGACATGGGGCAAACATGGGACAGGGATGGGACATGGGGCAGGGATGGGGCATGGGACATGGAGATGGAACATGGGGCAGGGATGGGACATGGGATATAGATGAGAGGTGGGGGGACAGATGGGATGTGGATGGGAAAAGATGGGGGCACAGACAGGACAGGCCCAGATGGATGTGGTATGGATGAACAGGGCAATGGAAAGTACACCAGGAATGTGTGGGACGGGACAGGGACAAACCCCAGGAGGGACATAGGAACCCTGGGGGGGTTTGGGGGCTGGCAGAGACTGCCTGGCTCCCCACAGTACTCACGGGAAGGCCGGGGGGACCTGTTGCTCCGGGGTAACCAGGCTGACCTGGAGGGCCCTGCACAGGAGGAGGATGACATTGAGCCACCTGCAATGCCCCAGCCAAGTGCCCAAAGCCCTGAGGGCACCAGTGTCCCCCTGTCCCCTCCTCCCACAGCACTCACCGGCTCCCCTTTGGCTCCAGCGAGCCCAGCAGGGCCACGTTCCCCTTGGAGACCCTTCGGAGGGAGAAGAGAAGAGCTACAGGGACAATCCTACAAGCCCTGCCCAGGGCTGTGCCCACCTGGCAGCAGGACCCAGGCACAGCCCATGGGAGTCTGTGATCTCCACCAGCCTGCTGGGACCACCAGGCACCAGGGAGAACCTACCTGGCACCTGGCTGGGCTCCCTCCACCCATGGCACAGCCACGGGCACTGGGCTCAGCACCCAGGTGTAGTGGGGTATACTCAGACCCAGACACTGGCACTGCTGCTTGTGCCCCCCACACCAAGACATGTGGGCAGGGCCTATAGGCAGCCCCAGGGCCATGGAAAGCTCAGCCCTGGGGGTGCTGCTGCATGGGGTGCCCAGCTCCTGGAACCCAGGGCATGCTCCAGCCCACAGCTCCAACCTGGTGCTTCCCATCTTCCCAGAGAATAGGTGGCACAGGGACAGCTGTGAGCCTGCAGGCTCTGTGCCATGGGGTGGGTTAGTGGGGTGATGTGGTGCCAAGGTGGCAGAGGCTAGACAGGACACGCTGGCACACCGCAGAGCAACGACCCACAGACACCTACAGAGACCCACACAGACCCACACAGACCCACACAGACCGTGGTGTTATGGTGACATTAGCAGATGAAGGGACATGAGCAGGAGGGCAGGACCCTCCAAGACCCACTGGCACAGCCCCACCAGCTGCTCCTGCTTGGAGCAAGCACTGGTGGCAGCAAGAGGATGGAGATGGAGATGATGATGATGAGGGTCAAGATGGAGATGGTGGTAGAGGCTGAATGACCACAGAGGAGGAGGAAAATGAGCCCAGGCAGCACTGGGGACACTCCTGGCCCCCATGAGTGTGCCCCTGGGGGCAGCCAGGGAAGGGGCAGCAGCTGAGTGCCACCAGGTGTCACCCAGCCCTCCCCATGGGAGCTGTGATGGGGCACACCAGGAGCTGCTGAGCTGAACCAGGTCCCACTGTGGAGAAAGGACCCAACACATGGCACTGAGGTTGGTGAGTGCCTGCACCAGGTCCCTGAGCTCAGGCAGGTCATTCACAGCCCCTGGGTCTGCTGAGATGCCCTTGCACTGGGATGGAGGAGGTGGAAATGAAGGATGGTGATGGAGTGGAAAGGGCAGCTGTGCTGTGGCTGCCCCAGTGGGGACAAGGACAAGGGACACAGCCAAACCAAGCAGCAGCCACACAGGGCACAGAGCAGAGCCGTGCTGGGTTCTTACGGGCAGTCCGGGTGAGCCAGGCGTTCCAGGAAAACCTGGAGGGCCCTGAGGGGAGAAACAGGGAGGTCACAGCCTGGAAAAGGCACTGGGGAGCCTGGGCTGAGCCCTCGGGGTGCTGCAGAGCTCCTGCTCCATCTCCAGGCTGGCAGCACCTTCACCTCCATCTCCAGACTGCCCAGGGACATCCTTGCCACGCTGCACCTCTGCTCTGCCCATCACCACGGCCTCAGGGCAGGGTGTCAGGCCCCCTTGGCATCTTGCACTGGGGGGTTCCAAGCCCCCCAGGACCATACCAGGATGCCCAACACGCCTTGGCAACCTCCCACCCCAGGCAGGGGTACTTACAATGGGCCCGGGTGGCCCTGGGGGTCCACGCACTCCTGGTAAGCCCTGGGGAGAAGTGGAGGGGTTAGGAGTGACCTTACTTAGTGTGGGGGATAGGGATGTGGTCCCATGCCAGCTCTGAGGGGCACCAAGGGACCAGGCACAGCCCCTGGGAAGGGCTGGGATGGCAAGAGGGACATGGATGGATTGGGAGCTCACCCACCTGCTCTCCTCTCTCTCCAGGGATGCCAGGGGCACCCGGCAGTCC